GAGGATGTGGAAAGCAGGTTCATGCTTATTGCAGAGAAAAGGTAAAACAAAATGAAATCCACGTATGCTCAAGATGGAGCTTTTCACAGGTGGCTATATATAACTTAGTGGTGGCAATCTTACAGCTCGCATGCTGCAGCTAGCTCTTTGTATCATTGAAAGCTCTAAATGATTCACTAGGGTATGTGAATGTGGGTTAAGGTTGTGTGAATATGGATTAAGGTGTTATAAATTGATGAGTTCATTGATTGGATAGCATTGTTCTGGGTGTGGGTGGTACCAACCATTAGGCACGTACTTTGAATGGAATAAAAGTGAAAAATGGAAAGCAGGCTGCTTCTGCCTGCTGCTTCCTGTCTGCTCTGCCTATGGACTGTTTCTCCTCTGTGATATCCCTGTGCCATGCCATCCCACCTTAGAGCCAGCTGATTATGGACTGAAACCTTTTTTAAGACAAAATGAACCTTTCCTCCTTTAACTTGCAGGTGTCGGGTATTTTGTCTCAGCAATGAGAAAGGTAACTAAGACATTTTTGTTGGCAATTCTGCTGCATGTTAGGAGGTACACATAGAATGTTCCACAGAATCATTTGATTGGCTTGAAATCTTTTCATAAGTTTATTAATTTTTGAGGTATTCTGTTTTTGAAGTATTTGTTCAAGATTTTTCCATATTATTCTATTTAGTTAGCTGTCTTTATTTGAAATTTTATGTAAGTAACTATCCTACTGTTGGCCATAAATTTATAGTTGTTGTTTTCTGTGTGAGAGTTTAAAAAATGTAAAAGCCTTTGGTCAATTCAAAGATCTCTGTGAATTTGACACATTCTCAGTAACTGCTGATTACCCTGTAACTAGAATGCAGACTAGACTGCAGAAGACTGACTACAATTAACGTGATATGAGAGAAACAGACGAAGAATGTTTAAATTTTTTAAAAAAATAAAGTACAGGTATTCCTGACTTCACAACCTACCTGTTAGTGACTGTTTGGATTTATGACTGACATTCAGACTTACAACACAGGAATGTGAGTGGCAATGGAGCCCTATAGTGTTTTATTCTATTCTGTAATTGATTCTATGCACAAAACCCCCATAGTTTTCTTGGAGAATATACTGTCTGCAAGACACTGTGTAGAGTATGTTCTCAAAAATGAGAGCAGCAATGTTAGAATTAGAGGCTATGGATCTAAATATTGAACAATTCACAAAAGCCATTTCTACTCTGTCATCTAAATCTCCTGATCATAATTCCAATGATGACACTGAGGCCTTTGAAGGATTCGATGACTAAAATGTTAACTTGGATGTCTTTTTTTGTTCACTTCTGTGCATCTTGTTTGTAGAGCCTCAGTGTCTTTTTTGTTACAGTACACCTTGTTTATACAGTATTGTAATTTTTGCTGATTGTACTGTACAATACAGTACTCTAGTTCTACGTTCTGTTAAACACTTACAGTATTGCATGTAAGAGTTATGCAAATAAATAAAAACAAAGTCATCAAGTTGGAGTTCCCTTTGACTATGTACTTGTTCTGAATATTGTGATATACTTCTTTATTACCAAGTGCCAGCACTGCAATTAAATCTAAATACTGAGGTTTTACTTTATAAAAAAATAATTCTTACATTAACATCTTTTGTCTTAAAAGAAGAACAATAACAGAGCTTTCAATGATACAATGTTTTATTTAAAGGTAATAATTTGCATTTAGAATGCTTTTGCACAATTAGTGTGATCTTTGCTGTTGTATGCATGCTGATAATTTGTCAAACCCTGGCTCATACTTTGTTAGTTTGAGAGCAACATATGCAGAACTCAGGTCATCTGTCAGTGCGTTTCTTGCATCAGAGTTGATATAATTCAAACCTGAAAACAGCTGCTCACAAGCATAACATGATCCAAACAAAGTAAGAAAAGCAGTCCCAAGTGCTTTGACTTGCAGTTATTTGACAGAGAATTCCACACTTTAAAGATTTCAATTTCAGAACTACCAACTGTGCTGTCCTTTGTTATCCCTTCACACTCCGTATGCTCAAGTGTTGCAAGCAGATCAAGGAATTTAGTTTTGCAGATAGAACTTTCTTGAAATTTCAATAGCTCCAGATTTCCAAAATCTACCAGTATAAGTGGGAAAGATCAGGTTCTTTAAATTTGGCTTTATCTGGAAAAGTAAGAAAGCACAAGGTTTTTTTTACAGAACTGTAAAAATCTGTTATTAAAATTCTCATTTGTAGCTGCTACAATACTAGAAAATTTCTTGTAGATTTCTTGATGGCTTGTAGGATTGTCTGCAAATGTTATAGAATTTTCTTAATGTATTTTTACATATGGAAGATATTTCAGCTGCCCACTTTCAAGTTCAAATGTGACTTGGCTCACATGCTGACATAGGTTTGCCACCACTGCTATATGCGATACCTTCTCATTCAGGACCAATTTGGTTAATGACCTATTGGAGAGAACTTGGTCATTAAAAGAGGATTTCCCTTAAAAGACACATTGTCAATAATCCCTATGAATATATTCCTTCTCACTAGCAACACACTTATTCCATAGTTCTTGACACTTTCTGAAGCAGTTTCGGAAATCTTCTTTCATGACTGGCTTTATTAGCCCTATTGTGGCTGACTCATTATCCAGAAGTGATTCAAAAAAGATACCTTTCATGATCCTTTTGACTTTGGGATAGAGCCAGAAGAGCCACGGTGCCAGATTCAGTAAATAAGGTGAATTAACCTGCCCTTCCATTGGATGGCACGTAATGGCAGCTTTTACTGTTATCATTTTTTTAAATCATTAATTTTATTGGTACATTTTAGGTATACAGTATGTTGACATTCATTATTGGGAATTTGTACCTTTACATAACATATCTTGGTTCTTATTTTTTTCCCCATTCCTCTGCCCTCCCTTTATTAGACCTGATAGACACACATTAAAGAAGACTTCCAGAACTATTTCAGAAAGTAAGAAGAACTATAAGATTAATGTATTACAAAATATGGGCAGAATTTTGAGGGGGACTGTATTTTATTGTAATATATACATATATATGTATATATTTCACACAGCTATTTTTCAATCAACCCTTGTATTTATTGTGAAAACCGCCTTAACATTGCTTTATGATAATTTAACTTACTAGGAAAGCCCTTGGTATTTTCAAAATCTTTCCGAGTATTCCTCATTTAAAAATACATGTCATTACAGTTCTTTGTTTCAGAAAAAGAAAGAAAAGAACAGAAAGGGAACCCTACACTCCTGCCTCTTTCCTACAACCTAATGTGAGAGGCAGTAAGGTGGAAGGATGTGGAGGACTAGACTTATTGGTAGTTTTACACTGAAACTCTATAAACAAGAAAATTTGGTTAGCATTTTTAAAAAACATTAAGCAGATAGAAAATTGAGGGGAAAAATCTGTCAACACTATCACTTCCAATGTAAGCATGTCAAAATATAGTATTTACATTTGAATATAGGATGATGGGTAAATTATTTTTACCTAACAACTTAAAACTTTTGTATGTTTTATCAAATTAGTCTCCAAAAGCTATGTTTGTTTTTAATCAGAAAAAAAAAAAAGTCCTCTGCTTGACAGTGGTTGCAAAGGGATGAAGAGCAGAGTGAAAATCTGGTTGGGACAGATCTGGGAGGTTGAAGACAAATGGGAACCAAGGCTCATTGTGTGAGACAAAGAGGGAAAGCTAAATTAGTGACAAAGAACGGGCTTTCCTTGATGGCTGGTTGTGGACCATGGGTTTACATATGCTACTTCTACTCCTTTGCTGCACTGATGACTGCAGCCAGGTGAGGGTAAGAATCCTATGTTCCTCTGTCTTAGGGATTCACTTTAATGGTAGTGGTGTCTTTTGATTCCCTACTGAATTTATTATTATTTTTCTTAGTTGAAAGCAATTCTTTATGTCCTGTTTAAGAAAAATAATTTTTTTAAAAAAGAAATATTTTCCACCCATCCTTTAAAAACATTAGCTGAATAATTTTAATTTTCCCATTTGCACTCTAATTTCCATAGAAGTTGTTTGGAAAGGAGTGAGTTTTGCATAAGCATCACTGTTTACTGCTTCTGCAAAGGATAATTGATATAAAATCACTTGTACATATATAAATATGAATTTTTATTTCCTTCTTTGTAAAACTAAAGAAAATAACCTACACCCTCAAGAATATAGTTATTTCTTACAAGAATTTCCTTATATACTTTTATAATCCATACACTTCAACCCAGGTATACCTAATGACTTTAAATCACAATAGAATAATTTTAATTTCTAGAATGTTATATAAGTGGATCAATAAAATATAAATCCAATGGCTCAAATATCTGAATTTACTTTCAGCTTCATTATTTCACCGCTGATCACATTCAATAATTAGGTTTGGAACAGCAACAATAGACTAGCTTATATTAGGGTCAGAATGTGGTAACACTTTTTCTTTTTCTTTTTAGTGTATATTTGCAGTACATCATAGATACATATATTTTGGGGAGTGTTATATGGATATAGCATACCTTGATCATTTTTGTATCCCTTTACCCCACCTCACGTCCCCATGTCCCCTTCTCCATTGCACTCTTCCTTACACAATAATACCTTGGTTCAGGGAATGTTTCTGTTTGCTTCCATTTGTGAACTCCACATCAGGTAAGAACATGACTGCAACCATCTTCCCCTCATGAACACAAATGTGTCCATCTTCTCCAGAATCGTGGCATGAATTAGGCTCGTGAACCACGGTACCACTACACTAGGCTGCTAGCATAGGTGGTTAAATTTGTCTAGCCAGGAGTTGGACTGGCTTTGGGTTTTTTAACTAGTGTGTTTACCATTAGTGTGTAAATGGCTTTTATTTCCAATGCAAGTGGCGTGATGGTTTTTGCCCCTCAATTTTAATGATCTCTCATCAGCTTTTAGTCTTCATTGTGTGCCTGTGATTTAGAGAAAAATGACCTTTCATTTTCTTTTTCCTTCTGCAGTTGTTGTCTTACTGTTTGTTCCTTGGAGTTGGTGCAGATTGAAGTTAGAGTAACAACAAAAGCTTCTCCCACCTTCCATCTCCTGACATGTGAGTCAGAATTGAGTTATCCACAGGAAAGATATTAAATACGTAACAAAACTAAAATTAGTACTAGAATTATTCTTCATTTTTAAAACCTGAAGATAGGGAAGTTAATTCATCAGAAATCTCTTAGAAATCTGCAACATCTGTGTGATATATCCGAGGCAAAGTGCGTAGACAGACCCTTACCACACAAATTTAAAGAAATTAATATGATTCAGTAAAGAAATTTAGTACTTTCACAAGAACATTATGTTATAGGAACATTATACTAAATGAAATTTCAAAATTGCAGCATTTTCTTAATTATAAGGGCCCAGAAGAGTCATTAGGTGTAACTTTGTTTGGAACACTTAAATTTGTGAGCAATTATTTATTTTTTAAAGGCAAGCACAAAGAATTTTTTAAATTAGTGTCAAAGTGCTAAATGACAGAAGTTTTCTTACTCATTTTGTATCAAAAATATTTCATAGTAGCATAATGATTATTTCCATATATACTTTGGTAATACTGTGTCTTCAAATTTTGTAAAAATAATTTTCTGCCCTTTGTATCAGATGAGAGGCTGCTTTTTATTGATAAAGTGTAAAGCCATTAGATGACTATGTTAGGCAGTCTCTGGAAAACATAAGGCTGCATTGTTTAAATTCTTAGAGGAATACTTCTATAGTGTTACCACTCATAAGGGAATTTCATCTCTAAGAAAATGCTTAATCTTCACCGAATATTTATATCTCAATTACTGCCTCATCTTAGCAGCACTAATATTTTAACTAAATTCTAGAGAAGCAGAAGAAACCCAATGCTTATAAAATACTTATGAGAAGCAGAATACTGATTAAAGCAAAGAAATAAATGCATTAATTTATTGTAGCTTTTTACAAAGACAAAAATATAAATGTTGAGTAGCATGGTAAGAGAATACTTGAATTATTTTCTCTTTCAATAATGAATTAACAGTGTTTAATCACACAATTCTTGGAGCTAACAATAGAAAATGTATTATGAACATGTGTTACCGAAAATATTAAAATTTCTACATTGCAGAATGTTTAGTAGAAATAGAGAAAAGATTCTATACAATCTGTAGGCCACAGTTAGATCTGATAAAATTAAATAGTGTGGGAACTTAATTTAACTAAGCCTTGGAAACAGTGTAATTCTTCAGTATAACATAAATATACATTATTATTTGTGTGTAGTGGATAATTGCACTCCCAAAAATTTTACTCGAGGCTAGCAACAACAGCAACAAATCATTAACATGTTCCTTCTTTTCATCCTCATTAAAGTGCAAAGAAGCTAGGGAATTATTATTGTGTCTATTTTTGTTGAAAGCTAATCTACTAAATGAAACACTGATTGTTTAGGAAAGGTCAGTGTCACTTTTTGAGGACTCAAGTATATAGAGGCAGAGTATCTTGGGCAACTTCAGCATAGTCATTCACACATTTTAAAATGTATGGTTGTTTGTATGATTGCTTTATGGCTTCTATATCCGCTAAGAGATTGATAGTCTGTGTTATTTTTTCTCTGGACATTTCAGAGCAGATTCAGCCCAGGGTTTTAATTACAGTGTCATTTCAGCTGAAGTGACCATTTGTTATTTGGAAATGAAAACATTACTTTGGATTGTGTTTGACAGAATTATGACATTGTTTTTACATAGCTCTAATTTTGGATGATTTTACTACCTAGAAAATCATCAGAACTTAGTAATGTCAAATGCCCACTAGCAGTATACACTATTGTTTCAATTCTACACCACTACATTGCATAATCTAATAATGGGATCCAATTTGTTCTCTGAACATAAATATTTTAATTATGTAAAATGCAAATGAGAAAAGTTGGTAAAAAAGTATTTCTGTCTGAAAAGTAAGGCAGACCAATATTAATTTTTTATCTCACCTTATACACCATGTTGATTCTCAGGAGATTATTTGAAATGAAAATTGATTAACTAAGAGTAATTATCCAAATTGAATCTAGTAATTACAAAATAGTAATAGTAATATTAGTATTTAAATGTATACCTTAAACATGTCATTGTAACTATTAAAGATAAGATGACATAAACTAGTAATTAATCTATTATTATAGATTAGTAATTAATCTATTATATATATTTATATATAATCTATTATATACTAGTAATTAATTAGATATATATTTATATATAAAGATATATATTAGATAAGAAACATAAAAGTTACTATCTGTAGAGATTATAATGAAACTTGTAGTAGGTTCTCATTTCCAGATAATTTCAAGTAAAAAGAAAATGTTCATATATTTACAGATACACTTAGTCTGGAAGTTAATATTTGAGATAAAGAAAAACATTAAGAAAACACAGTAAATTTGTTCATTTCTCTATGTGTACTCTGTTTTTAAGGTGTATATTTGTAGATTTGCCCTTGTCTTCACACTACTCTATAGTATTTATTTTAATGAAATGGTTGAATGGATATCTACATTGAAGTTTGCCATTATTGTTAAGTTGTTACACTGCATAAAATGATAGTATGAAAAATAAGAAAATAGAATGAGAATGATCACAATCAGGATATACAGACTGAGATGAATTTAATATAAACCATTACATATATTTTTATTGCATTAAGTTTTTAAATATGTGCATTATTGCACCATGGAACTGTGTTTACCTGCAATTCACTTGCAAAAGGTATTCATTTGTTCATTTTTGAAGTCTCATAAAAAACCTATACAGCACTCCTCATATCATCAGTGGTTTGCTTTATGTCAGCAATGCACTAAAGGCAAAGGGTGACTCAGAGTTGGTGCTATCATGTTTAAACAAAACCAAACAGAACAACAATCGAAAATATTTCCCAAAGTAATGTTTTCCTTAAATTGTATTGTGAAGCAATGAAACACGAAAACATCATTTTCTCTTTACACAGGTGCTGATCTTTCTGATACAGGAAATACTATTAAAAGCCAAATTCCCCATCATTCATCATCACACACAGGTAATGTAAATTAACATGACATGGCCTTCCCATGGCTAAACTTTCCATGTACTTGGCAACCACGCCATCAATTTAATCTTACATATTTCCCCTTGAACAATGCTCCCTTTTATCTAGGTGAAATTCTCTTCTTTAGGAATGGGTATAGTTTTACTCTCTGCTTTATAAATCTATTATCTTGAAATTTACTCTCCCTTTCTCCCTTCTCTGTAAGAGTTCATTCTGAGCATACAAATATATATTGTAATCACATACTTCGTAAAACAATAATAAAAAAAGAAAAATACCTCATTGCATCATATCTTTTCCTTTAAAGGAAAAGTCACTAGAGAAACTGCCTATACAACATTACATTTACAGTATTTCCAATTTTCTCTTGAATCCAAGATTCAAGATTCCTATAAAAGATTTACAGATTTCTGTAAATGTCACTCGTGAATTTGCCAAATCCAATGAGAATTTTAAATACCCATTTTTTTATAGCAGTTAATAATAGCTGAAGGAGTTGATCACACTTCTTCTATATTTGAAAATTCATTTCTTTGGCTTCAAGAGCTCTTGTGAGTATCTTTCCCAGAGTTCTCTGCAAGCTCCAGCCCAGTTCCTATACCGGCTGCACTTTCACCTCATTTTCTACGGCACAGATGTGCCTCGGAGTCTCTCAGTCCAGTGGTGTTCAGTCCGTTTCTCTCTAGCTGGCTTCCTTTCGGAGAGCTCATCCAGTCATTTGACTTTCACTATGTTCTGTACTGAAAGACCCACAAATATCTCTCCTGCTCTCTTCATTTCTTATATATCATATGGAATATTTTTGTTCTGATTTAAGAAATCTTCATAAACTTTTCTAACAAAATATCTTCTCTAAGGTTAATTCTTTATTTCTTCATCCAGCTAGTTTTCTTCATAGTACTTACCATTGCTTGGCACAATGATTTTGCAGTTGCTTATTAATAATCTCTTATAGTCTGCCTCCATACAGAAGTCTGTCCCCCTCTGCAGCACTTAGAAGTAAAATAAAATTTACAATGATGATCTGATTATAAATTTCCTTCTATTTAAAGTTACATGTAATGTAGTAAAAGTAGGATTTTCATTGTTTTCATTACTTGAGAGTACAAAAATAAAGTTATACTGATTCTGAAGCTTTGCTTATAATTGAGACAAATTGCTTTGTGAAGAAAAACATGCAACTTCTCATTATTTAATTTTCAAATTAAGTTCGATTTCTACAATGCCTAAGTGGAAATAAATAATTCAGAGAGGGAACTTAATGTCATAATTTTTTTTTTTTTTTTTGTATCAGGGATCAAACTCAGGACCTTGTGCTTATGAGGCAGGCAGGATGCCACTGAACTAAATACCCTGCCCCAATGTCATTAATTTTTATGAGCAAATGTGGATATAGCAAATCAAAGTGCTATACATAGTATGGAGGAAAATAACAAGCTAAATTTATCAAATTTGCATTTCTCATTGAGTGTAGTTTCCGTTCTCATATTTTCCTGGAAATATGCTATGTTAAACAGACACAAAAAATTCAGAGTTAAAATCACAGGACCATCCCAATACAATATTTCTGTTGTCCTCTGGTCCTAAATTCAGGTCAACTGGCACAAAGTTAAATATCTGGCTGTATAAGGATAATGACAGCAGAATGCTTCCTTAAAAGCTTAGAGACTGGGTTCACAGCATGCGTCCACATTAAGGACAATGATATTTGCTATTCATTTTTAAACACATCATTGCTTTTAATATGCAGCTATTTTTGACTACTAAATGAATAAAACCACATCATAAATATGTATGTGTGTTTATTCTCAAGGAGAGCCAGCAAAAGTAGAGAAAATTATTCAAGTGCGTGGCCCCTCTCAGAAATACTGCAGATAGAGCTACATGTGCGGTGCCACAAGGAGGTTAAGATTGCTGGGTGCTGCTGTAGGAAGCAGTGTTCTTCTGTGGAAGGTAGGTGCAGCAGGAACCAGACAGGAGTGGTTCTTTGGCTAGCTTCAGGAAAAGCACTGCTTCTTTGGGAAATTACCTTAGCAATTGGGTCACTCATTCATTATCAAATTTTGTCCAGCAGTGTTGTTTGTGCTCTGATCAGCACCACTTTTTTTAACAGTTGAAATCTTCTAAAATATGCTCCATAGGGATTAAATGATAACTGAAAGTGTTTTCTGGCTTTTGAGGTAATAATGACAGTATGTCTAGTATTCACCTGGATATGAAGACTTCTCCCAACCTGGTTACAACCTAGTTAGCAGGCAAACCACATGCTCATTCTGTTTACAAAATAAAGACATATAAACAAATTATTTAATAACCATGTATTCAAAATAATATTTTCAAAATCATAAATTTAAAATATTATACATATTTTCATAATTTTGCTTTGTTTGCTTTTGGTAGTATTTTTGATGGAATATGGCCTACAAATCATTAATAGTATGTAAAACTTTTAATATAGTATTTTAACTATTTTAGTTATTCTAG